TGCTGAAAGGCAGGGGACAGTAACGGACGTGACTCCTTGTCTTGAAAGACAGAAGTAGCTGAAATTTTATCAGGTGACTTAATATACATTCATTTTTACAATTAGCCCAACATTGATTTAGCTCTACTCAACTGTTCTTTTCATTTTGGAAACATTCCAGGGACAATTTTTCATACTTCGTCATGGTATAATCAAGATTTTTTCAGGTCTAGACATCCCCAGACAATTTGCGGTTGAAGTTCTCTAACCCACAACAAAAGGGGACTCATTGACTTTATTGGGGAGGGAAGCTGGTGCCTTCTGCCGCCTCTACAAATGGCTCATGTCCTAACAGCACCACAGGTCCCCACCACACCTAGTAAGAACAGAACGCTGTCCGTGCCCAGAAACCAGGGGGTTCTTTGCCAGGTAGCACTGATGGACCATGTGTTTCCTTTCACAGGTACCAAAACCAAGGAAGGCGTAGTGCAAAGTGTGACCTCAGGTAAGAGCACAGCCCTGAGAGGGATGTGGAATTCTGTGATGTGTTGCTGGACCTCTCGACAAGGCCATCGTTCCTGACAAATGGAAGGTCTCTGGGGGATACTGCTGATCTGTGTGACCTTCCATTTGATGAATGGAGAATGCTTGCCAGGAGCGATGGTTCAGGATCTGGCATCTGCAGTCCACGTGGATGGTAGAAAATATTTAATCAGTAGAGCAGGTCAAAATAATCTAACAAATGTTACTTGGCAGGCTCAGCTGATTCACAGCAATTTAGACATTTCGCAATGCCAAGAGTGCTGCCCAGCATGCAGAGAGGATTTGCTTGCAGTGGGTCCTGTCGGGCCAAAACTGTGGCCTTTGGGAGACTCCTGTCAGGCAGTCACAGAGTCAGAGACCCTAAGGGATCCTTCCAGGTATCCCAAGCTTCAAGGCAGGGCAGCCGTCTGGACTGCCTTGAAGAGAGATTAATGGACACTTTCCCTGGAGAATTTCATGACTGAATTACTTTTTTTTTGTCTACCCAGGTGTATTAAATCAAACAAAAGGTAACTGGGGAGAGGTCATACGCAGTCTGCAATGTGAAGTACCTTATTTGCACAGCTGTCTCTTAGCATCTTACAGAGAATTTTTCATTCTCCAGTTGCCCACAAAGACTGACAGGCTGCAGCGCTGCTCTCTGAGCAGCATTTTGAGTCAGACAAAACCTTCACGTACGTGATCCAAAATCAGACATGATGTCATATAAAAAAATCCAAATATGGACTGTACCAGGGCCGATTTCTTCCGTTACCTTGGTGCAATCATTTGCAATCGGTCCCGGTGAATTTCACAGCCTTTTGGCAGTGCTCATTGACTTTCTGCTTTTGTTTAAATTCCAGTTGCTGAGAAGACCAAAGAGCAGGCCAATGTGGTGGGAGAAGCAGTAGTAGCCAGTGTGAACACAGTGGCAAACAAGACTGTAGAAGGAGCAGAGACCATCGTGGCCACCACAGGAGTTGTCAAAAAGGTATGTTTGTTTCTTTGTTGATGTGCAGGACAGAAGAGCCATCTTTGGAATGCACTTAAAATACTGCAAACATTGAGTTGATGGTTTTACCTATTAAATGAGAGTCTTTCAGCAATACCTGCTTTTATATAATGCTTAATATTGTTGTACAATACGTAATATATAATTACAGAATTGTTTAGTTTGGAAGGGACCTCTTGAGATCAACTAGTCCAACCCCCTTAAGGTCAATGAGAGCAGGTTGCCCAGGACTGTGTCCAGCTGGGTTTTGAACATCTCCACGGATGGAGACTCCGCAATCTCTCTGGGCTACCTGTGCCAGCATTTGACCACCCTCACAGGAAAAAAAGTGTCTTCTTGCGTTCAGATGGACGCGTTGATCAATTTGTGCCCATTTTCTCTTGTCCCATCAGTGGGCACTGCTGGCAAAAGCCCGGCTCCCTGTTCTTTTATGAATGTAGGAAAGCATTATTTCCAGGGTAGGAATATAACTGGGCTGTGGTGAGCATCTGGCCGGAGTCAGAGCTCTGGGATGTGCCGGGTGTGAAGGAGCGGGAGCTCAGTGCTTCGCCTCACACCTGGCCGGTGGCTGTGCAACACGCAGCCTTCACCCCGGCAGCTCTGCAGGCAGCAGAGGGCGGCAGCAATTCTAGCAAAGCCCGGTCCCAGCAGAGAGCTTGACCCTCCTGCTCTGCTTTGTGCACATTTTGACAACAACCAAGCGCTTGTTGATAAAGGCCGTGTGACCCAAACTGTGCACAGATTAAGCCAGATTCAGACAAGGCGTCTTCTGTCCTCCAGCCTAATTTGACAAACTGGGTTGCTTCGAGTCAGGGGATTAAGGGGCATGTGAAGGAGCAGAACAGCTCCCCAGATGAAGGCAAAGTTGATCATTAGAGAAGATGCTTTCACCGGGTGGTAACAAACAGCAACCGTTGGTACAGAACATGAGGGTTATTCTTGGCAGCTCTTTGGTAAACCCTGCTGCGTTGCCCCTCTTTAGGGAGCTGTGGTCAATAGCGTTGGTAGCGACATGAGCTAGATGAGTCATAACAAACCCAGAATTAAAGCGAAGCGAGGCTGGCCAAAATTGTTTTAATTGTTCAGACAGTTGGCTGATGAATTTCCTGACCTGCACGTAAATGCATTGTGATGTGAAACAAAACTTCTACACACCATATAAATCCTGAGAGAATAGCCTAACAAAAGAGGAGAACAGCAGATACGAGTGACGCAAAACGTCCTCCTGAAAGCATGTGAAAAGGGCAGATGCAGAAGTTCTGCTAAGCCCTTAGGATAAGATTAATCTCTGTTCCCACAGGGAACAGCCATTAGGCTGCAGGAGTGCAACCAGTGATTCCTAATTCTGTGGGGCCAGACTACCCCCTCATACCTTTTGACTTGACCGGGCACAGGGTGGTTGACCCAGGAGAGCTAGGAGTTTGCTGATGGTAGGAATCCATCCTGCAGACAGCAAACTGTCTCCCCTTCTGGCAAGGAAGGAGCAGCAGCAATCCTCTTTCCCTCCAGTCCTAATGAGAGCCCTCCCCTCAAAGACTGATGATCTACAACTTACAGGCGGTAATTTCACAGCTCAAACCAGTCAATGTTATCTGTTTCCATCCTTAAGCAGGTTGTCCCTTAGAAAATCAGTGATTCCTTCATCCAAGTCATGGTTCAAGATTATGCAGACTGCAGGCAATATACAAAAGCTGTGAGTTTTCCATAGGGTTAAAGCATTGTCTGCTTTGTCTGTGCTGTCATTCTGGCATCTTCTGCCAATGTCCACCTGCTTAGAGTTAAAGCGGGGACTGATCAAGAAGAAAAAAAGGTGGGATGTGTCCCATGCCGAAGGGCAGACTAAATGAGGGAGCCAGGAAACCGCTTTGGATACAGTATCATGGTGTCACGCCAAACAGCAGAGGTGGGCATCAGAATGAAAACAGGAGGAGAAAAGCAAGGCAAAAGAAGTCTCAGGAGAGAGAAATTCGACAAAAATGTTTGTTTCTGTGAAAGAGAGGGGTTATATACTCTAGCGTTTTAATTCATCTTAAATTAGGAGGGCAAATCCTCTAGTCATCCTCACTCACTGTACTTCAGTTGTATCCACTAGACACCTTTTGGATAGCAATGACACGGAAGATGGAGCTCTGAGTGCATCCCAACTGCTAATGGGTTAATGGCCATGGGGCCAGAGCTGTGCCAGAGGGAGGGGTTGTGCTGGGTTCTGGGCACCAGCTGGTTTCTCTCCAGATCTGCTCCTATTGTGCTGCTCAATTTGCTAATGGAAATAGGGCCAGAGGCTGCCAAGAGCAGCACCAGGCACTGTAATGGATTTGGGAGAGCCACTGGAGATAGATGAAGAGTGATAACGTATAGCAGTTCGATGTTTAAAAAATAAATATCTCCTCTTAAAATCTTGCACTCCTGAAATTATACACAAGCGTTACAGCCCCTGAAGTTTAGGAGAGCTGTTGTATCCAGTCCTGAGACTTGCTCATGCTGCACCCCATCCTCCTCCTCCTCCTTAATTGCAACGAGCAGTTGCTAGTGCCTTATTTCTATTTCAACTGTCTCCAGTATTGTCCCCTGCTGACTTTATAGAGGGGTTGGTCAAAGCAAAGGGGATCTAAGTGGTAAGCATCGAGCAGTGCTATGGGATTGAATCCGGGGAGTCGAGTGGCCTAGGAGGCATGTCCCAGCTCAGCATTCCCAGTATTAATATCAATTATGGAGAGCTTGTTGACATTTAATATGTGCATTTGACAGCTGGGATCAGTGACAGACACACGCTAGCAAGGAGCAGGGAACTCTAAGGATTCTGGATTAAGTTTTGCTCGGAGCAGTAGCCACGGGGCGGCTGAGCTCTGCGGGTGTATCAGATGGCAACTTTGGCCATGGGGAGGAATCCAGCCCTTCGTGGAACACGGCAGGCACCAAAATGCAGACACACGTGGGGCGGTTGGCAGCCCGCTGCTCCTTGCTGTCCTCGGTGGGAGCGCTCGGAGCCAGCCAGAAGGAAATGGGGCTGAGGTAACTCTGTGCCTACGGAGGGGTGCCAAGTGCCAGATGAGAGCAACCTCGAGTAGCATTGGCTTCGCCTGGTAGGGCTTTGCCATCAGCCTGGTCACTGCTGACTGAGTACAAGAAAGTATTGACTGTTCTGGAGGAGTTTTTAAGTATTAAGTAAAAAATCCGTAAGTTAAAAGACTGTAAACCCTCCACAATTTTTCTGATAAGCAAAGAAATGAGACCCATCAGTAACGTGCTTTGTCTGTGGCTCTGCCCCCATCCCAGTCCCTGGGGTGGGCGCTGAGGGATGTCAGTGAGATAACCACCCACTAAATATCCCTGCCTTGAAGAGGATTAATTCTCTGTCTGCATGACACAGCACAAAGTTTGCTGCATTGCAGACACCACGTGGTTGGGAACGAGCGCGTGTACATACACACACTCACAAAACATCCCTCGGGGGCTGGAGGAATTTCCCCAGTAACTGATGCGTCCCTGCGCCCTCCACCCAGCTCTTCCTTTGCCCTGTCAGTTTTTATGTGGTATAGTTGTCAGTTCACGGCTCTGTCATTTTGAATTGCGTTTGATCTTTTTGTTATTTCACTCCATTAATTATTTGAGCAGTTGTCAGTTATGTGCAACCGCTGGGCGTGTTCGTTGGATCGCATCGTTTCTGTCTGCACTTGATCTAGCGCACATGTACCATACCCATAACGCAGCTTATCGCTTTCATAACCACTGTACATTTTGAATGTGGACAGTTGATGTTCATGGCCTTAATTCTGTTCACTTAAACCCTGTGATGCCACCGGCACTCAGACAGTCGCACTGGAGGAATTAGAAGCAGAAACTGAGGAGTGACCTTGCTGAAGTTAGTTTGGGCAGGGCGAGTGCCGCTAAGAGGGAGTAACCAGTGGCATCTGAGAGGCCACCGAGGGCAGAGCTGCTAAGCGGGAGAAGCAGGGAAATCAACAGCTGAACTGCCTTACAATTAAGTAGAATAAATAGTCGAAACTCTTCGCCTTTGTACTCAAGCTGCATCCTTCGTATTTGAGCTTCACTGATGCCGTGATGCATCCCGATGGTATCCTTCAGCATCCCATGGAGCAGGGGAGACTGCAGAAGTGGCACAGGATGGGGTACTCTGCCTACAGGCACTTCTTCTCTGCTCGTTAGTGCATCCAGGCGTCCCTTTTTCACATGCAGAATAGCTGAGCAAGTGGCACCAGTGAAACCTTAAAGTCTACAAGACTGTGTGTGCGCTTCATGGCTAAAGGCTGTGTCCCAGTAATCCTGTAGGACAATAATGTAAACATTATTAAATATGTATTATTTGTATAAGCAGCCCCAGGAAACCCTAAGAGAGTCTGGCTGTGAGCTGGATGAAAACAAAGCTACCCCAAGAAGCCACCTGGATTTGTAGGGTAAGACAGGAATCCTGCATGCCCGTCTGTCTGTCCTGTCGGTGGGTCCACTTTAATCATGGGTTGACCTCTTAATCAGAGTTGTCAGCATCACTCTGAGCACAGTCAGCCCGAAACCCATCCCAGGACAGCCCGTCCATAGGAGCTGTCAGGTTGCCTGAGGGCTTACAAGGGAGTGGTTTGGGGATAGTGCCAAGTAGCATTGCTTTTCCTCCAACGCCCAAGGTCAGGAGCGAGACAGGAGGCTGAGCCTCTCTCCGCCTTATGCAACTGATGTCCCATTGCAGGCTGTTAAACTTGTAGCAGATTAGGTTGCCAGTGCACCTCTCCGGTTTTACAGCCTTAAAATAATATTAATAAAAAAAGAAGTCTTGCTTGCCACTGCATTTGTTGAGTTCTTGATGAGCAGTGTTCAAGCATACAACATTTAGACTCTGCATGCTTTGTCTGCTAGATAAAGAAGATAATCCCAATAAGCTTGTTTATCTCAGAGTTTTTGGGGATGACAAAAGAAAACCCTCACTGGCCTATAACATAATATGAATAGAAATATAAATTCCATTTCATGTATGGGCTCAGCCAGCGGAACATTTCACAGTTGCTGAGCTGAAAAAGGGAATTTCATCAAACCTGTGAAATAGAAAAATATGAAGAATCAAATTGTAATTATTTTTTTTTGCAAAATCTGTGGACTTTTAAAATCTGTTTTTAAAAAACATACTAAAATATCTGAGCCCAGAAGCCTATAGTATGCTCTATTTAAGACCCCCTAACATTGTGCAGGAATATTTTTATAAATGACAGTTCCTAATTTGTTGAGTTTTTCATTAGTGGTATCTGAATATGTAACTATGTTTCATAACCTTAGTAAAATATTCTACAGTATATATAATCTACATAAAAATATATTTTTATGTATATATAAAATGTAAAATCTTGCATGGTATTCCTGTAATGAATTCTGAAGTCCTGTGTTTCACTTAATTATTATGTTACTCACTTTTCTCTATTTTCTAGCCAAAAAGATTCAACCCTGCCCCCCAAAAGCATAAGAAAACTGCTCATAACAAACTAAATAATCTTTTTCATTTTAAATACTTTGTCTAAGACGATACATAATTTCTGAGGGGAAAAAAATAAGCTGCTTGCCGTTTAAGAGCGGGAGGAGTGTTATTAATCACTTCATGGTTGCAACATGCCTTTCCCTTAGAACATTTTATCCCTTTTAATGAGGAGATGAACACCGAAAGGAATGGCAAAGTTCTCTCTGTCCTCCAGGGAAGCTGGATTGCCACCTTTGCTTTCTTGCCCAGCATCACGCTGTGAGTCACTGTTACAGCTGGGGTTGGGACTCGGGAATTTCTGTCTCTCCATCCAAAGTGAAGACCCTTATATCACGTGGTCTTCCCCTGTATATTGTTTTCTCGACTAGTCACTGAACTCCCCGGCCAGCTGACGCCCCGCTGAAGAATGCAGCCCTTCCTCATCTCATGCTCGCTATTCTGGGCAGGGTGGGAAGCGCGTGAGAAAAAGGCTGTGAGGCGACATCTCCAACACGGCCTGACACCTCTCCATCCTGCCATTGTGCCGGTTCCTCCACCACAGTTTAGAAATGCTCTCCAGAAACATGGTTGCTTCCCTTTCTAAAAATAGATGGATGAGTCACTTTAATCCTTCTGGAGCAGAGTCTTGGCAGAGATTTAAGGAATATAATAAGTAGCACAATAGCTGAACAGGGATTCTTCCGCCCACCCATCATTCTTGGATGCAGTGTCCTGAGGATGGTCCTGAGGAAGGGATCCACTTTTCCTTGCCTGTTTCCACATCTCCCAGAGCTGAGCTCCTTGCCCACTGGAAGAGTACGTGGTCATGCCCTGTAAGAAAGATGGGGTGCACTGCATTTGTCCTTGTGTTCCTGTGAGCTGTCCCCGAGCTTTCCCAACACAGCTTGGGGCCTTCAGCGGTCGCCTTTGATTCACCTTTAGGATTTCACAGGCAGCTGGTAACCCCACCTGCAAAAAAAACTGTGAGGCGCCTGTTGTTGCAGCTATGGTCATCAGCTTGCACTGCAGATTTCTTCTCTTTCCACCTAACAGTCCAAAAACTTGCTTGTAAACCTTCAAAATACAATTTGAGGCTATTTAGCTGCTTTGACCTAATGTGCACTGTTGAGTTACAAGGCGTAGTCCTTTTTTTATGGCTCTATACTCATGTAGTGTTTTAAAGCCACAGACTGGATCCTGAGGCCGCATCAGCCTCCATAAATTCAGGGTAGCGAGCTCTGTTTGCTGCCAGCAGGAGAGTTCACTCATTTCGGAACGGCTGTGGCTAAGTGGCTCCGTCAGAGCGTTGCCGTGTCCCCGGCAGCCTCGCGTCCCTGCTGCGCCTGCAGCTGGAGACCAGAAACTGGTCTCCATGATGTGTGCAATTTGATGTCATTAGGTTACCCGGGCTTTCTTAACACAGACCAGGCTGATACCAGCAAGAATCACTTCAGCCAACAATGTGATGCAAATTGAGGGCGCATTTCTTAGAGAAAAAAAACAATATATAATCACATTGTGCTTCTCATATGGAGACAGTCCCAGTGCGTGGCTCGTGCCATAAACAAATTGACTGACTCTCGGCAGGGAGGTAAAGGGAATGTCTGTAGCTGTGACAGACATAAGCACTCGACCGCAGCTCGGGTTTTTGCCATTTTCATTCTTTGGTGGATCAATCTCTTGCGGTAGCTTGCGTGGAGAGCAGGAAGCCTACGGCAGGACAACCAGGTTGCAGTGCTTCCATCTCCCGGCTCCCCTTCCTGCCAAAAATGGACCTGAAGTCCAATTTCCAGCTTAAATTTTCATGGGATCTACATTATATCTATGTAACTCTCTGTCATTTTTTTCCTTTTTATCCCACATCGCCTCTTCTTCCCTAATTCAGTCCCAAAAGCAGCAGGGGTGTTCTCCTAATGGTGAGAACAGTGGTGACTGGACAATGAAGAGTGGAGTCTCCCAAAACGCATGGAGCATACAGTTCTGTTTCCAGTAGGTTTGACAGGGACATTTAATTTGCACTGCATCAACAGCGGCACCAGGGAAAGTGGTGGCCTCGTGTTTCTGAAATATTGAAATTCAAATGATATATCTCCCTTGCATACAAAATTGACTTTCCCTTTATGCAATATGCAAGTCTCAGGTTCCTTCTGCGGTGGCCCTGACTTTACGTGGGAAAAGAAAGTAAAAATTCAGGGATATTGCTGGGCGTGTGTGCTCAAAGGGAGCAGAGGAGCTCTGTAATTTTAGCAGAGTTCCCTGCTCATTTGGGGCTGGACTGTAGAGGTCCTGCTTTTTCTGCTTCCCCCTGCTCTTGCCGCCTGGTTCCACCAAGGTGCGTTTCTGCGCTCTCTCAGTCACAGCCAGTACAGTCAGGATTTTTGTCTTCTCTTCCCATGTGGCAAAATCACGTTTAAAGTAACTGCCTGGTAATGAAATCTTCTCCCTTCTTCTTTGAATAAGAAGGTAGCTGAAAGATGTGAGGAAGCAGGTAGAAGAGCTCAAAGTGCCTATGAAAAATGATTGGACTTCAAACAGAAAGGACAGCTTATCCTTTGATACTGACATTTTATCTGAGGCGTGACATTAACGCCTGCCACCACGATATTGCTATATCTGAAAGTAGCATTAGTCTATGCAATGAGTGCGTGAGGAAGGTAAGGTAATGTAGGTGAGATAACATAAATAATTTATTTGTTGCTCCCACTTTTCTTCACACTGAAGGAGTCAAAACTCTGTTTGGTCTCGGTGACAGGAAGAAAAGCTTCAGAAAAATAACTGATTTTCTGTATGAAAAGGACCCTACACAAGGCTGTAAGAAATTGAATTGCTTTTTCATAGATGTCTGCTCACACAAGCTGCACAAAAAATGGATTTCCAGTAATATTTGCCATCTATTAAACCCGGTATTTTATTCGCCTGTGTAATGCTCAGACGCATTTCACGCAGTCTGCTCAAATGGTCTGTCTGAGCTTAGGGGGATGACTCTGCGTGTGCTGGCAAGGACAAACATCTCGCTTGTGACTTGGCAGGAGGACCTGGCAGCGCCGCAGCCGCCCGAGCAGCCGGGGCCAGCGGGAGAGGGGTCCATGGTGGCAAGCACCGACAGAGGCGGCGAGGTAAGGTGGTGCCACAGCCCTGACATCCCCACAGTCCCCGGGCTCATCCGCACGGTCGTCAGGCTCGTGAGACCACACCTGGGTTTTCTCTGGGTGACTGGTTTCCCCCAGGACACTCTATTCTCTGTGATCATAGACCTGCTGCATGTGGACCCCGTCAGTACTCCCATTTCCAGGAGTTATTTGGCAAACCCCGAGCCGTGGGTTCTCACTTTTGCTACTTCCTTTTTTGGGACCAAGAATTTGCCCTGAGTGACAGGTCGCAAAGACTAAACTGCTGCTTGATTTGGGTGTATAAACACACATCTCATTGTTAATGGTACCCTGTGGTTTTATCATCACATGGAATAGCCTTTCCCTGGTTGCAGCCGTGCTCTAGAAGAGCTTTAGCTAACAAGTTAGATTTTTCTATAGATTTTTAGACAATAAGCTAGATTTTCCTATACTTAAATTAGTTCTTTTGAGTTTTGATCTATTCTACCTGCAATGTCCTTTTGAAGCCCTGGATCCAAATGCCCGTCTCAGGGTGGACAACCTCTTAGAGCCCAACGTGGAATTCCCTTTAACAATTTGGGTGCTGAGGCCTTTGGCTGCCCACTCCGTGAGCCCCACAGTGCTGCGCACACCCATACTCCCCCATTTTTGGTATCTCTGAAAGCTCAGACTGTTTCCCCACCTTGCCTGAAGCTCCCTAAGAGTCTTAAGTTGCACCTACCGCCCTCCGCCAGCCATCACTCGCCCCCCACCATCCCCCCGGGTGCCAGTGCTAGCACTCGCGTGTCCCAAAAATGCCCCCTGCTAATCCGGCTGACTTCATGGCTGCACAAGTGCCAATGTCCAGGCTGCGTGCCGGGGCGGGAGGCAGAGCTGGGAGCGGAAAGAAGGACACTCCAGCCGGTGGCAGCCCGGCCCCGCGTTAGCTCAGCTTCCACCGTGTACGAAATCACACCCTGGTTCTCCCGGGGGGCCTGAGTTACAGCGGGAGCGTGTCTGGTTCCCAGGAGGAAGGGATAAGTCATTTATTTTCTGCACCATATGCAGCCAGTGTTATGTCATTGTTTAAGGGGTTTTATGTGGTGACTACCAGCATTGATTTTTCTCCTAATTTTATTTGTATATGTTTTCCACTAGAAATATTTAACTATTTTCCTGTCTGTCTTCACTCACAGGGTGAAAATGAGGGCAATTAATCAACTTAGGGCCGTGGAGCTCAAAAGAGAACATTCCAAGAGCATACATGGAAATATTAGCTGACACCACAACAGGAAAATCCCGCTCTCCATAGACTAACTCCATGCAGCTCTGTAGTCTTTCACCTCCCCCATAAACCAACCGTACCGTATATGTAAGGCAGACTCCTCTGACTGTAAGTAAAGTGCAGCCGTGCAGCAGGGTGTGCGTCTCCCTCCCCACCACCCCCCTGCCTTCCCCACCCGCTCGCTTCGTGTGTTTCGGACGGCCACACTGGTCCGTGTCGCGCGGCCCTCCGCACTGGCACCTGGGATCTCTAGGTAGCGTGGAAATATTTTTTTTTTTAAACTAATAAAAAAAAAGTGTTTGAACAAGTTTTTTGTTTTGTCAGTTTTATTTGCATGTTTTAGACATTGATCCTTGCAAACTGATGAACTCTTCCTGTAAAAGTGTGGTATTAAAATACAAGGCCTCGGCTCCCTCAGTGTTCCACAGGGACATGGTTTGGTGGTGGTTTTGGCAGTGTTAGGTTAATGATTGGACTCCATGATCTTAAAGGTCCCTTCCAACCTAGACGATTCTATGATTCCTCTCCCTTCGCTTCCTCAGACCAGCCGCTACCCAGCCAGGGAGAGCAGAAGTGCCGGGCTGAGCCGTCCTCGGCAGAGGTAAGGAAGGTGAACACTCCTTTCTCCTGAAGTAGGAGGGTCTGTCATGAGCCAAAAGATTATCTATTAATTATTCAATTAAACTTTGTTGTATGTCTGTTTGGTTCACCACATGGAAAAGAAGTCTGTACTTTGAACGAGTGTTCAGACAACCGTAACGAGAGGTGATGGAAGGAAACTGAGAAATGGGAGGATGGAGGAGATGCATCAGAAAACATCCTGCAGCAGAAGGTGTTTTTGCAAGGGAGATGCTGGGAATCCCTCTGCCCCAGGTAAAAGCTGGTGGAGGCCAACAGTAGCAAAATAATTGTTTGCTGACAGGTCATAGTCTGGGCGATCAAGTGTTTCTTTTACACATCTCACCCTGTGATTTATTTAAGTGGACATTCTATGTGTGATACCTCTCTCAAAGAAGCTGTTAACTTAATCCCACTGTGACGACACAGTGCTCAGTGCCAGGCGCGGCAGGGACGTAAGTCCATCGATAAGACATGGCTCTGGGTGTTCATGCTCAGACCTCTGTGATCCAACAAGCTATGAACAGCTGCTGCCAAATGCTGCCTCAACTTTACCGTACAAATGACCAACAAAATGCTGAAAAACATTGGGTTTCTTCCCCCTTGTAACAGCAAAACTTACTTACCATGTAAAACTGCAGTTAAGCTTTATTAAGTGATTTTTTCTGATACAGTTCATAGCCTTTGAGAGCCCTCGCCACCCCCCCATTACATTTTTGCCAAGGGTTAAAGGGCATGCAGGCCCTGATTTTTCAAAGATGTTTTTCTGGGATGCAGAAGAGAAAGCGGCAGCTCTCTCCAGAATATGTCAATGTGCATTCCACTAATTTAAATGCAAATCAGGTAACAATACACTTCTTAAAATCCCACTTCATCTGAGAGTCCTGTTTTCACCTCTGCATAATGCGTGCCTTAAAACTGAACTTAAAGCGCACCCAATTAAAAACTGAAGGGTTGGGGTTTTTTTAAACCATTCTGCATAAAATAGACACAATCACACATTCTCACCGCTTTGAGACTTTTTTCCTGAATTGAAACGTAGCTTATTTTAACTGTTTCATGAGTGCATTGCAACCCTACCATATCACAAGAAGATACTCTATACCGTTAATAACGTATCAGAAAAAACCACTCAGATTAAATCTCAGCTTTCTAATTGTCAGATAAACCCCTGCCTGCATGACTTCGCACAGGTCTGTTAGCAGCACAGAGTTTCTCTGTCAAGCTTTGGCACTGCTGTTTTGGGTGGGTTCCAGCGTGGGAGGGAAGCAATCTCGGCAGCTCCGCTTCTCCGCCTTTTCTCTCACGCAGAGCCCCAGGTTGGGTGGACAGCACGGCCCTGTGCCAGAAGGGTAGAGCCAAGGTGCTTCTTCCTCTCAGTGTGCCTAGAAAAACATACAAAGCTCTCCTGTAGACATTACCCTCAGCTTACATTCCAGCTCACACCCTTGGCTCTCCTAGCCAGCCCAGGGATAGGGCCACTGATGTCCTTCCTTAGCCCTGTGCCAGATTTTAAGGCGATGGCCAAGACTTCCTCAACTTTTTACCCCTTATAATTTAAAGGCCAGACCTTTTTTTTTTTTTTTTTTCTTTCCTAACACTTAAGCCACAGGATATCATGAGACTCCACAAAAAAAACCCAGTATTTAATCATGGTTTTAGTCTTCGGTGCTCCAGAAGGTGGCAGAAACTGGACGCTTCACTTAGGCGTTGCCTGAAGCTTCAGAAACCAGAAGGTAAAGACATCTGTGTACACTGGCCTTGTTTGGATGTCATGCTTTGAAGCAGAGCTGGCTGATGATTTTTGGAGAACATTGCCACCCATGTAAATGAAGAATCAATTAGATCTGCTTTCCTCCCAGAAATATATTTCTGTATTTGAATGGAAGGGCTAATTTAGCTTGATTAGAACAGCTTTAGTTCGATTTTAAAATGACTAACCTATGACTTATGATAATTATATCCTTTTATCAGCAAGCAGTTCTATTTCTTACAACAATTCTATTTCTTAATGTAAACATCACATCCCTTTCACGCTAATATCAGGCTCTTTTAGCAGCTGTGGATGTTGAACACTGCACACTTTGTTATCTTCAGGAATGGTCTGTGTAAAGATTTTCAGCCCTGACATGTCATTGCATTTACCTTGCTGATGGAAACCACACCTAGCGATAAAACTCAACCCTGGTGGAATTATAATTGAACAAAACCCAAATAAATTTCAATGCTTCCCATTTAATTAACCTTGTTTGCCCATTTTCATGTGTAAAACATGAGCTCTAGCTCTGATCAATTACTTCTCACCTGCATCAGGTGTTCACATTACTGATATGTGAGAGGGTGCTCAAAGATGCCATAGGAGAGGTAGGAAAGGAAAGGAAACCAGAACAATTTCTAATTTCTCTGCAGTGCCTTAGATTTAACTCACAGCTATTTGGACTGCAGCTTTGGAGTTGCCAACTGGCTCCAGAGCCGTGAGTCACCGAGTCCTCCTAGCACTTAAGGAAGCACTTCTGGGTTTTTTTCCACCAAACACAAATGACTGCTCGTCACAGAGAACAGACTGAGAAAGTGCAGAATGTGTAGAAAAAGCCTGGGGAATCAGGCTTTTTCTAGGGCGAAGGCTGTCGGTGAGACAAGGTACACGCTGGAGGTGAGCAGACAGTGCTGCTGGCGATGGTGACACTTTTTGACATCTGGGTTCTGGCCAAGCAATGTCAGTGATGTGCCCCGACATTACCAGGTGGGATACTTTTTGGAATAGCCTGAAATTTCAGGGGCACCCCAGCATGTGGCTCTGCCTGCACAGTGTGGTACCCACCCCAGCTGGCCTTAACCAGGATTTCTGTCTGCAGCCTCAGCAGATACCGAGAGCTGAATGGAGTAAAAGTCCAAACTAACTTTCCACCTTTAGATGGTTTGATTTGACCTTAGGACACACTGACTGATGCAATCAAAGACCAGGAAACCCATTTGGAAAGAAGCAATGGATAGGAGGAACAGGAGACAACATGGCTGAGAACTGACAATGGCAAAATGAACAATCCCAAAATACTTGCCCATCAGGTCCATCAAGTGATGATTAGATCCTCTCTGACGGTGGTGACAGACTATTGAAAAGCATAAAAAAGTCAAAGCAAAGACTGGGATTCATGAGAAGGAGCAGTTCTTGAAAAAGCTTGTTTTTTCACCCAGATGTTCAGGATCGCGTAGATGCAGCATTTCAGAAGACCACAGGTTTGAAAGCTGGCTTTCTTGAAAATGCAGCCATGCATTTCCCAGGGCAGCCACGAGTGTGTAGAACTCCCGCTGAAGTCACGGGAAGGGCTGATGCCCAGCTGGGGCATCCAGCTCATCGTGAGCTCAAACACTTCCCGTGACACTTGCAAGAGAGCCATGGAGCCCATCATGGATACCCAGTGTCAGGAGACAGAGGCAGTGAAATGTCAGTCAGACTATAGCCTGGACCAGGACAGGAATGAATTTAAAGCCATACGGTTAGTTCGCTCAGTTCATTGATCTATAATTAGAAATAAGTTACTATTTTACTTTTACTGTTCCTTAAATAGTCTGTCTCAGGAAAAGCTTTCAACCGTTTCTCTTGTGATATTATTCTCTTTAGAGGCCAAGGGAAGGTTAAATTCTTTTGAGAAATAGTTTTTTACAAAATCCAGGAATAGATCCGATCTAGTTTAGTAGTTTCAATATTCATAACAGAACAAAATGAAAACTCAGGCATAAATGGCTGCAAATTTCTGAGCAGATGAAATTCAAATCCTCATCTTTTGCTCAGGTCAATCATCCTTTTTATATCTGAGTGGTCTAATCTACATCGGTTCAATATGCTTCATGTTAGCTTTAAAAAAGTGATGTTAATTCACAAAGTGAATAAAGATGATGCAATACATTCCATTAATTTTCTGATGTGGTTTTGTAACTCTGCGATGCACAGACTATTTGTCCCATCATATGGGATAAATACATACTATACCAAAGGTCCTTTTTCCCTCTGCTCTGGGCTGCATTAGAATGATCACGCCGTGTCAATTTGCCGGGAAAGTGTAATTTGCTTTCTTTGCTTTTTTTTTCTTGGAATCAGGATAATGGTATTCATGCTAAGGACAGGATTACATTAGATGAGGAGTCACGCTGCTATGCTGACAGCAGTGTAGGTTTTACTCACGAATTCATGGTACTTAATGTTTTGAGCAGGAGGTAAAGCAAGCAGTGGCACAGATCAGACACCCATATTGAGTCCAAAGTGCCAAACAAAGCTTTCCACTTGGAAGAAAAATAGTTGGAGCTGGGGTAATCTCGGTAGGCGTCAGAGCAGAATTAGAGAGCGATATTCACCTGAACTGCTCAGGAGCCTCTAAAATGTTGCTATAATGTGGTGCACGTTTAATGCTCAGTGTAAGCGTGCATCAGTTTGAAATGTTCTCCCAAACTCCTGTCCTCCCTTTCAGGCAGAGTACCCCCGCCAGCATCAGCGGGGCCCTGGAGCTGCAAAC